TCTTTCATATGTTTTTGTGTGCATGAAAAGCTCCTTCCTCTCTTACAAACAGAACAAAAGTCTGCTGTTACATGGACAAAGCAAAATGTAAGCCTTTTGCTGTTGCTTATTGACTTAATCCTCATGATGAAAAGTACTTCTGCAAGACATTTCTTGTATTACTCTTTTTTTGGTTCTATGAATGTGTGGTGAACAGTGTAAAGCAAAGGGCACTTGTATGCTTATGAATGTAAAGACATTTGGATGAAGAAATTCTGCAGAGCAGTATATTTATTTTGCATTTCTGAATGGTAGCAATTAAAATTCCCAGCTGCTGGCTGTCCAGATGTTTCTTGCATTACAGCATTGTAATTTGCATTGGAATATATTGTGTTACTGCAGTAGCTGTAAAGTGGTCAGCTCTCTCAGTCTAAACGCTATATATGGGCTCCAGTTGGGATGGTGAGCATATTTCCTGCTCATACCAGGTTCTTCTCTTTCCCACTGTTTCCCCGCTCTGCTAGCTTGGCATGTTTGTATTTCTCAGATGAAGACTTGTATTGCTTGGCATTCAAATCAAGCAGGGGATGTATTGGCAGGTCAGAACTGATGTATGGATGGTCTTTTGTAAGAGTGACACAGGAAAAAAGACTCAAGTTTTGAATGAGAAGTTTCCCTTTCCCTCTGGCATTTTCAGGCAGCAAACATCCCTCTGGTGTCAGAGCTTGGCATTGATGATATCCATTTTGATGACTTCTCGCTTGATGTGGATGCCATGATTACTGCAGCCCTGCGGATGTTCATGGAACTTGGAATGGTTCAGAAATTTAAAATTGACTACGAGGTAACCATCTGCGCTGCAGAGATATCTGCTGCTTTTGTCTTGGCACTGCTCTGTCCATTTGTACGCATTTAGTAGCCCTGATACAATTTGTACTTTTCATTTCAGACGCTGTGTAGGTGGCTTTTGACGGTTAGGAAGAATTATCGAATGGTTTTGTATCACAACTGGAGGCATGCTTTCAACGTCTGCCAGCTAATGTTTGCCATGTTAACTGTAAGTATCCAGCTACAGACGCAATCCCGTAACAGCTTTTACTGCCACATTGCCTTACCTGTCTAAGCATTTTCCAACATTTGATTTCTTTTCTAGTTATGATGATACTCATTCATTTCCAGTAGAAATGCACACAGAATTAGGTTATTAGACTTAAGGCAGCATGTATTTGGCAAAACCTTATAGTGTTTTAGTGACAGTGATATCACAGGCACATTAAAGTGACTGAAAACAGATGGCAGTCTTGGAGTGAGCTTGTTATTATAGATCTTGATCTTACAAAAATGTTTTTCTTTTGGAACTCTTTGATTTGACATTTATTTCAGACTCTTAAATTGGGAAGTACAAAACCAAGGAAGATTAGAATCCCAGAAGTATTTATTATTTTATTATTTATTACCTTCTTATCTAGCTTTATCTAAATAGTTGTAGAAAGCATTGCCTTAAAACATTTTAAGATTAACTTCCAACATAGTGATCTAAGTGAATCTTGTGTCTCCTCTGGACTCTGTAGCACTTCTGGGTTTTATTAACCTGTATCTCCGTCAGTACCAGTAACTCAGCATGCAAGTAAATTCTGTTGAAAGTACTACTGCTCTTACTCAGTCTCTTCTCCTACCCCATGGCAACCTCACTGCATGAAATAATCCATGTTTGGCTAATTAATTCTTGTAAATGCATCAATAAAAAGCTCAGTCCTGGATGTTTAATATTCTGGTTAATATGGCAAAAGAGAAGCAACACGTCTGTGTGCACACACTTTCTGCTGTACTTTACATTTTGGGTTTGCCTTATTTCCAGATAAAAATTTAATTTCCATTCAGTTTTAATGGCCAGAATCATCTATTGTGAACCTTAATACTTACTAATAGCATTTGTGCAAGTATTTATACATGAGGTATGTCACGTGCTTGTTCATTAATTTTTAATCACTGAATGTTTATGCCTTCATTGCTGGCCAGTCTCTGCAGCATGGTTAGCATCTAGACCCCACAGCCTGTGCCATTCGCGGCACAGATCAGCACCATGTTACACGGACTTGAGACAGCCAGTGGCCTGTTTCCTGCTTATGGGGCATGGCTGTCTCGTGCATGGGTTCCCAGCTCTCCTCTGTTTGCCGTTCTCTCTGTGGCAGAACTTTGCATGTCAGGTGAGAAAAAAAGGATGACGTCCCCGAGCAGGTAGATGTTGGTCTAGTGCTAGGTCCATCCCAGCTATGTGGGTTTGTTTCTGTGAGCATTTATGGAGGCATAGCAAAGTTGTACCGTACACCATGAGACAGAGGAAATGGAGATGTTCAACAGGAGAGAAAGGTCACCTTTTCTTCTGCGTGCGGCTCTTCAGCTGAGCAGAATTAACATTTCAGCTGGTGCTTTCTGATGATCTCTAATGAAAACTCGTGGTAACGTGTGGGCATCCGTCGTTTTTAAAGTTTTATAAACTTGACGTGCTTTTTTTTCCAGTTATAGAAAAATGACAAGCTTTTTACTCTGAGAAGTAAGGGCAAAGTCAGGCAGCGCCGTTCAGCCAGGAATTAGATTAATTTCTGCCAAACGCTGCCTGGGGGTGAGGAGCCCTCCAGCCTCACCCGTGAGGACCTCTAGGTGGAGCTCCGAGGCCAGGTTTTCGGCAGGCGGTTCTGTCGGGGGAAGCGCGCTCTCTCCCTGGCATCTCCACCTCAGCTGGCCATGACTGCATCGGAGAGACCGGACTTCAGCAGCCACTAGCATCCTGTGAGGCCTCGGCATAAACTGCTCTGGCCGTGGTTCTCAAAGCATCATTTCAGGACCCTTTTAGCGGTCAGCACAGGGATGCAGCTGTCTGTGGGAGGCGATCTGGGATTTTCAAGCCAAGCTCGTTTCATTGCCCACACTCCTGCAATAAACCGAATGGGCAATTCCATGTGCAGGGCTGGGCGCATGTGCCCACGGCACTGGGCTCGCCACGCTTTCCACCCCGCTTCGCTGTGGGCTGAGAACAGAGTAAGTTCAGGTGTATGATCCGCTTGGGCTGCTCCCCCTTCCAGAGACAGGAAAACTATCTTGTGAAAAAAGACACATAAGAGAGAGTCAAGAGACTAGTAATAGCACAAGGCTTGCTCTTACTGCGTTTGTCTTGGGGGAACCATCCGAGTTAGTGTGTGCCTTGTTTTTTCACGTGCAAAAAGGGGAAAATTCTTTGACCATCAGAGAGGGGCTCTGAAGGTCAAGCAGGCACTGCTTTGTGCAGTTACTGCACCCTATTCCTGATTTCACCATGGCCGTCAGCAATATTGACTGCACCACAAATATAAACCAATAGCTTTATTTTAGGGCGTTTTCAGGTAGGACTTTTAGCGTAGCATGGTAACGTCTAGTCTGTAATGTGGTAGCCTCTAATGGCCCGACCATGCTCCCACTGAACGCAGAAGGAAAATTCAGCTGGGTTGAGCAAGCCACAGAACAGAAGTCCAACAAAGCTTAAACCAGCTGTTTCGCTCCTAGGGCAGCCTTCTGCATATCTAAGGTATGTTCCTGTATGTCTAAGTATATATTTACTCTCCTGTTAGACGTTGAACAATTATAAGCCCAGTCCTGTGAGCTATACTTCTGTATTTCATACTCGCTGAAATATTCTGAAGATAAGCACTGAAGCAAGACTGCTCCTGCGAGTTAGGGACGTCGCATGAGAGTAAACTGCAGGATCAAGCCCAGGCTTCATTATCAATGCCTTTGCCTAACACCGTTCATGTTGATACTTATTTTGAAAAGTAAAAATGAACAAGTAAGCAATACAAAATTAAAATCCCATCTGGTGTGCTAATAACAAAACATATAAATGTGGGGCAAGGCATAATGAATGCAATTCATTTCCTCACATGAAAGAATGACCTCCATAACTCACTGGAGACTCTGCCACTCATGAGTTATGGGTCATTCCTTTTCTGGTGAAAATAAATTTTACTGCACCATCTATAGCTGTGTATTTTTTCTCTCTGTGTAAATTAAAAAACCAGGGAAATGTAATCCTCTATTTTCTTGCGTTATGTTCAAAGCAGATATCCCCTTACCATGACATTGTTTTAAATTAAATGGTTTTTACTAAGTGAAATATTCTATATTTCTCTCATATATTTGATGAAAAGACTTTTGATTAAATGGAATGTTGCATTTATTTTTGGGATATTGCTACTGTTAATAAATTCCTTAATTGGCTTTCCTATATTTCCAGTACAGGTTGAATCCTTGAGTTTAATCAAAGCTTGTATTATGCTAAAGAATCTTTACTACAGCACCAGTTTTATATTATAAAATTTCTATTTTAAGTTGTTTTAACTTAGCCATGAACATTTTCTCTAGATTGAAACTTGGCATATTGTCAGTTATAAACCTATTTTTAATCCCTTTTTTAAAAACAGACCTTGATTATTATTTGTTATATAAGAGCAATGTTTAAAAAATAAAGAGAAAACACTATTTTTTAGAGAATTTCCTCTGCCTGGGTAGCTGTTACTGAAACTAAAAAAAGCAATGCCACTAGAAATCAGGAGAATCTCTTTCAAGTTACACTGTAGACCAGTGGATTCTACACTAAAGGAATTTTTTTTCTCATATTTGATCATCTTTTCTGGTATGTAAGCTTTAAGCACAATTATAAAGCCTTTGTAGCAAGTCCTGCACTTCCTCAGTTCCCACTGAAATGCATTTCTGAGCACCTGGGGGAGCTCGGCTCCCTGTACTGCCTAAACATTAACTGTGGCCACATTTCAGACTATGAAAACAGAGGCTATTTGGATTTGAAAGTGTATTTATTTATTTAAGTGGAATTTGTGGTCTTCAGGGTGAATAGCAGTTTTCACATGGTAATGCAGCAACTGGCTGGCATTTCTGAGTGGGCTCTAAGTCCTCACCAGGTAAGGACATCAAGTCCCACTGATACTCACTCCCTGTATCACTTAACCCTCTTCTTGCCAGTGGGTGAAATTATGGCCCATTGAAAATCAATGGAATTCAGGATTTCTTACATACTGTTAGTGTTCAGCCTTGGTTTGGTCCTCCAATATAAATGTATTTCATATTCTTTTATATAATTTCCTTTCATGCTAACTAGATTGTGTGGCTGATTTAGAAGTGTCATTGGAGACTGGCACTGTGGAAAGACAAGTGTTGTGATTTTCCAGCTCAGCCAGACATTTTTGCAGGCAATATACCCTTATGCTTCTGAAGAACTGAAGAACCATGTTGTTTCTGCCGTGGGTAAGATGCACGGCACCAGAGAGGTGGTGTCCCACGCAGGCTCCAGCACCTCCTCCAGACAGGATGCTTGAGGTTAGCAATAACAATAGTATTTCTTTTCCGACACAAGGCAGTTCAGGCAGGAAAACTGCTATGGCAAGTATCCACAAGGAGAAGTATAGTGGCAAAAAAATGTTTCTAGGATCAGCTCCCCCATTCATGTTGGGCATACCTGGTCTGAGCTGCTCATGGGGAATTTCAGTATATCAGTTTTCAAAATTCTCTCCAAAATTCTAGCAGGTATCTGCAGCAGAAATATGCCATTTGAGACATTTCCTCTTTAAATCATGCCACTTCATTTCATGTGTCCCAGATAACAAATTTTTTAATAGTTCATAACAGTTCCACAGAGTATATTTTAGCTGGGTTCTTTTGTAGGTCTTTTGATTTAACATCTCAGCTGTCTCTGACAGTAGGGATTGACTAAGATGGTCACCTTAGGATTGAAGAAATCTGTCTTAGTACTTCTCTGAACAATATTTTCAAAATGGAATCAATTTTGGTTTGTATTTCCCTGATATGAAATTCCAGTTCTTGTCTTAGTGTGTAGTTATTGGTGTTTGTTTTCAGCTCTTTTTGCCTGTAGTGCCTTCTGGGTAGTAGAGAAATGGCATGCTGCAAATGCAACAGAGAGATAATAACAGATCACTCCAAGGACGTTATCTGTTCTGCTAACCATCTAACATACAGCAGGGAATATAATATGACAATAAAGCATTTATCTTCTCCTTACTGAAACATTCATGGTATCAAAACAAAGTTGACTGTTGCTCGATGGACTAACATTACTTATCCCTTTTGCTACTGATAGTTACAGCTGCTATTTTTTCTCTGCTCTCAGACTGCAGGATTTCAGGAGATTCTGACTGAAATTGAAATTTTAGCTTTGATTGTGGGATGCTTATGTCACGACCTTGACCACAGGGGAACCAACAATGCCTTCCAAGCCAAGTAAGTTTTCTAATTCTTAGTACTTTAATTTGTTTTTCTTCCATAGAAGAGCAAAAGGTGACTAGGATAAAGAATGAAGCATTAATTTCAGGCCTCCTAGGCCAAGGCCAAGTATTCTTATTCTTGTATGTAGTGAGGGACTATCCATCTTTATCATTCTCTGTTCTTTTGGGTAATTGCTGGCTTGTCCTTTGTATCAGGCTGTTGATTGGGTTACCCCTTGTGAACTGACAGTGCATATTGAAGCATGGTGCCAAAACTTGATGTTCTTTTCAGGCTCAGGTGTTATTGATTCTGGTATTCAACCCAGAAACACTGAAAATGTCTCTCTGGGTTGTTCTTGCTGGCTGGAATACATGATGTTAAGCAAAACCTTGTTCAGCTATTAAGAAGAAAATAGGTAAAACTGAAATCATGCTTTCACAAAAACCTTCACCCTAGTGTAGGCAAGCATACTCCAAGTAATTCTTAGTGTGAAACTGTTGCCATCACGCTGGAGCTCTGATGGATATTGCCCGCAGTGGGTGGCTGTACTAGTTGCCTCACCACATACCCGTCAGCTGTGGAGCACATGGGGTCCCTGGCCTGCCGAAATGCCTCCTCCCTGGCCTGCCCCACAGGCCAGAGCACACGGAGCCTGTTTGGAGCCATGCTGTAGTGGGCAGGGGTGGGCTGGCCACCCCCTGCCACCATCAGTACCCACCAGAACACAAAGCCGGATCTCGAAGTCAGATTCTTACATAATCTATGTGAAATCTTGTTCTCCAGATTGTTTTCAATTCTAAAAATGAATTTTATTCTATCCAAAGTGCTTGGGACCTGATTCAGCAGCCCTGACTTGCATGTATTTTTACCCTCCAGGCTGCTGCCGTCAGACACGCTGAGGTAGAAGCAGGTTTGTGGAAGGTTTGAGGGTGGTACTTCTTGCTGTAGTGGTAAGGGAACTCCCTTGAACAAGGTCAAATTCTTTCGTAAAACTCTGTTCCCTCAGAATAAAGGGTGGCAACAGGAAATGTCCCCTGACAGCATCCTGGCCAAGCTGTGAAATAAAGCTGTCGGACACAGAGACTCCTCCAAATCCCATGTTGTTTTTCTCGGCTCCACGGGTCCTCTACAGTTGGAACACGAGCCCTTGAGGCTCTCTTGTCCTGCGGATCCCAGCATGCTTTTGCAGCTTTGTCTGTTCTGCATTACTGCTAATCCTCCAGCGTGACGGGGAAGTGGTCAGATGGTTGTCCAAAGATATTTGAAAGACAGGGTGATGTTGTATTAGCCTATTTTGTCATACTTTTTGCAGAAATAGTCTGCTGCAATGCGTGTATGCATGGGCTGCTGCATTTCTGGGGGCGAGTTGCCTCAGTGAACATCACTCAAACTGATGTTTCTGATATTCGCTAAGCTGTCATTTCCTGAGCTATTGGTGTTGCTGTACAGTCTCAATGAAACAATGACACTGTCTGGATCTTCAATCACCATAGCAAGGAAAATCAATTGCAGTGCTCAAAAGACAGAGCTCATGGTGCAAAGGTTACCAAGCACTGCTAGATGCCTTTTTGCAGCTGAGTCTCGAAGAGAATCAAAAAAGACGAGACAAATGGGAAGGAAGCTCAGCTGATTGATGTTTATGTTCCTAATTTACAAAAACGAGACCTAAGATTTACATCCTGACCATTTTAGGCTCTGATTAAGTTAACCACTTCTCCAGTGTAACATTACACAACAATATCTCTTGTGCAGAGGGATGGCTGAGTTAAAGGTAGCAGTTTCAGCATTAGACTGCTATCACTTATACTTGTTGTTTGACAAAGAGGGGGCTACCATTTTACGACTCCATAAAGAAATTGCTGAAGACATTTAACAAAAGACAAACATTACCACACATGTATAAAACATCCCTAAAAACAGAAGCTGTAGTTTTAATAACAGCAGCTACGATTTATTCCTGTAACCTGACTTGTAAATTTAAGCATCACATTTTCCTATTTTATCTTCAATGTTCAATACTGCTGTTCTGTGTGATGAAAGTTCAAGAGGTATATGATGGAGGCAATAATGCAGTTGCCTGAAATGCCTCTGTTATATATCTCAACACCACCTTCTCTAGGGATGATGTTTCCTGGACATCCTTCTCTCTAATATAGCTGCTTCTGATAATTAAATATCAGTATGGTGCAGTTTTATAGTATAAGCTCCTAAGAGACTCTTTCTGTTTGTCTCTAGCATAATCTCTTATTCTCATTTCTTTGGAAAGAAAACCCATCTTGTCGCTTTAGGCTGGGTCCCAGAAGTGATGTAATGGTGATCAGTAACTATTCTGACAATCTAGTCCTGTTTTCTGCACCTCCCAAGGATTCGCAGTTTTATAATTGTATTCTGTAGATTTTTGTTCTTTAAACTTAGAAACCCCACCTGCTCTGTGCATTTTGAAGCTAATTTTGGTTTAGATTATAAACATGATGAGAAAATACATTCTAAAGAGATGTTCAACTTTACTTTTATATTCACTGCTCTTACTTGTGGTTTAGTATTTTTTTAGGTGCATGGTTTTACATACAGACAGAACCTCACTGCATTTGCAGTTGGTTTTTGTTGTTGTGTTTTGGAGGTTTTTTAAAAGAGTTTGTAATCACCTATTGTAAGCTACTGTGGTTATACCTATTAAGAAATAAAAATAAAAGGTAGTAGCCAAGCAGCCGGTCCCAGCTCAAGGATGTTACTGTTTGTCTTTACTGCACAGTGGTGCACCTGCGCTGTGGCATCACTGAGGCACTCTAAAAGTTGCATGACAAAATTTCATGTGGTTCCAGGAAAATCTTTAGTCAGCTGATGATATTTAGGAAGGTCTTGGACATAAATGCCATGTATCTGGCTTTAAATTAGTATTTTGATCTGGTCAGATGTCTCAAGTTTGGTTGCTGAAATGGAGAGGAAGAGTGTGGCTACATCCTTTTGTTACTAAATTGTCTCTGAAACTTGCTTTGTAAGCAGACAAGCAGTATTTGTTGACTCCCTGTGTTCTGTTTCAGGAGCGGATCAGCCTTAGCTCAGCTCTACGGCACCTCTGCTACCTTGGAGCACCACCATTTCAATCATGCTGTCATGATTCTCCAAAGTGAGGTACAAAAGCATTACTATTAATCTCACTGTAAACTGTTGGGCAGTTTGAGCCGGAGAAAGGAAATACCACACACAGTACTTTTTAATGCCCTCTCCTTGAGGAATTATTTATTGGTTACTACAAAGGTCACAACTAGCACAAAATTAAACAACTACAAATGCTGATCATAGAGCCCAGAGATTATATTTGTCTCAATCAGCTAGGGGCAAGGAGAATGTATCCTAATCATATTGTCAGCTTTTCTCAGTCTTCTTACATATATCTTGCTCAGGGGTTTATAGGTAGGTGAAACAAGCTCTTACCTTTCCCCACAGGTGGTGTGTTCAAAGTATCACAGTCATCCTTTACTGGACCAATTTATTTCTTTGACAGTCTTTCTGTAATCAGTATTTTTATGATGGTTTTGCATAATCCTACTAAATTCTTTTTTTTAAATTAATATCAATAATAGTCCAAAAGTACGCTAGCTGCTTTGCAGGTACATTTAAAGACATGGTTCTTGCCTAGAATATCTTATGCGCAACAGTATGCAGGACACACTACCCCAGAGATGTAATAAGTGAAAAAAGTAGAAGGATGGACACACAGTCCTTACAAAACAGTGATATATTTTCTTAATTTAGACAGACAGGTTGTTACAAAATGCATTCAGCATATATAAAACCAAAAATGCAGCACAATTGGAGACAATACACTGATCTGCAGTAACTTTTGAAGAGCATCTGGGAATGTCCTGTGATTGCAGACAAATGGGAACAGGGTGATGGCTTTACCTGTGTGTACAGTGCCACAGAGATTAGTCATGGGACTGTGGCTTTAGTGTTCAGTTTCTCCACATTATATTAAAAAAGTAAACATAGGAAAGGAGCACGAGATTTAAACAGCTGAATCTGCTTAGCCTAGCTTATCTAAAAGGTGATTGTAGGAATTAAAGGAAAGGCATGAGGAAAAGAAGCATTTGAAAGTTAGACTGGTTTAGAATAGGAAAAAAGGGAAGGGGGGGGTGGGTTTTGTTTGTGTTTTTTTCCTAAACCAATGAGACTGTTCCGGCTCTGGAACAAGCTTTCCTGGGAAACAATGGTTTGTCTGCTTCCTGAAATGCTCATCATAACTGAATGTCTCTCTGAAGACAGGCTGAAGACATGGACAACTCTGTGAACGTTTATAGCTCATGTCAGTCTAGCTGCTTTTCTTTATCTTGACCAGCTTAAAAATCAAGAAATTTACCAAAAAAACCCCACTTTTATCCTTGGAATCTACTGCAGCTTCTTTCAGAGATGTAAAATGTTACTCGAAATGCAAGTCCTCCTCTTTGATCATTCAGGCAGCTTCTTCTCCAGGTCTTCATTTCTAGACCGGAAAATTAATCCTACAGGATTTTTATCCGATGGATACTGTTTAGTAATGAAATACAACACCCCTTAGATTGGAATAAATGCAGATTTGGATCCTCCAATCTACTTAAAGATATGCCAACTTTCACCAGCTGAGCAGCTGGCCTCCTCTCCCAAATAAGCTGAAATTTGTTTATATCTTATCCACTAATATTGATATTCTAGTCTGTCTTTGCTATCTGGAATGAAACATAGTATATTGTATTATTTCTTTAGATTTTTATCATGTTGGACAAAGGAGCTATGTATCCTTTACTCTTGACATGCTAATCTCAGTATAAGTGATCTTCAGCTTTGTAGTGGCATGGTTTTATACACCATGAAACCGGTCAGAAAGGCAACAGATATTACAGAATGACAGACAACTTGGTAAATTACCCCTGTTGAAAGAGCTGCTATTTTCCTAATACATTTTGCTTTATTTTCTTCTGCGTACTTTGTTTTTTAAATTGTTTGTCATAAATAAGCTTTAGATTCTCAAATCCTTCTGAATATTTAGCCAAAAAGAAATAATCATTTCACTGTCATGGAGACCATCTTTTCTGCATGGCAAATTATTTTTTTAGACCAACAATTATTAAAATCTATTAAAAAATACCATCTCTACCTCCAGACCTTATCTCGTTTATGTCCTCAGACCATCATGGTTATAGCAATCCTGTTGCTGGAAAATTCTTGGTTTTAAGGACATTTTAATCTTCCTAAGCAGTAGGTGGCAGTGTGTACTGAATGTGTGCGTTACAGTGCTAAATACCACCAAAATAAGATTCTCTTTAGCAAGGACCTCATTATTTCTATAGGTGATTAGAAAAGAAAAAAGTGTAGTACATTTATTTATGTTTATTTATATGTGACTAATGTCACAAAGACCATGTCTTAAGCTTACATTTAGAATTTTCCATTAATTTTGTAGAGAAATTATAGGATCTCTGTCCCTCTGTAGTTTTCAGATATTCACCTGTGAAAGGACCTTCCTGCTCTCAAATCACAATATTACATAATTTGTTTCCTTTCATTCTGACCATGGAGCACCTTTCAAGTTGTTAATCTATGATCCCTTACAAAGTAGCTTATTTGGCCTACAAAGGGCATTTAAACTGCATACCGCTGCAGTTCTTTAGCCTGCATAGGGAATGCTTGTATACACTGTAAGACAACGCAGTAATGGGCAGAGTGAGCAAATGGGCTGTTTTGAATGAAAAACTGATTTAGTGTCTTTGACTGCTCTAACAGCATTTTGTGTGCCTGCAAGCAGCAGCACAGATAAATCTATTAGGAGCACAACTCAAAAGCTGCAATGTACAGCTCCCCAAAACATTTAATAAGAGGAAAGATTGAGATGTATCCATAGTTTTTCCCCATAAACTGAGTCTGTGCAGGGTCAGAGCAAAGAGTAAATCTTTCCTCAAGAGGCTGTAATTCCAGCAGAGTTTAGAAAAACATCCCAGGTGCTTGATTACAAACGTCAACTCTTCCACCCCAATGTAATCTCAGCAGTATTAACATTATTATTTTGTCATAGTTTTGCCATGAATCAGAAGAGGCCTCTGTTACAGGGAAACAGTAGACTAAAGAGAAAACCTTTTAAAAACCTGTATTGATTGCTAGCCCTTTACCTCTTTTATCTCTTTCATTATAGGGTCACAACATCTTTGCTAACTTGTCCTCTAAGGACTACAGTGACCTTATGCAGCTTCTAAAGCAATCAATATTGGCAACAGACCTCACTCTGTATTTTGAGTAAGTATTGGCATTTCTTGTATTTGACAAATGAAAATTCGAAGAACTTACTCTAATGACCTATTAAATACCAATAAGGATATATAATATGAGAAATTAGTGTTTAGCTGTGGTTGAAGAGATTTAGTCTAATACTTAGTATATCTTAGGCTAATAGAAATATCTCAAGTGTCCAAGTAAGTTTTGCTTTAATGTGTAACATGTCTGTATCAACAAAAAGCAAGTGAAATCCTAGGCTTATACTTCAAAGCAATCCCAGGAATCAGTTACAGCTTAGTCCCATCATTCTTTTGTCCCTTCCCTGATCATTTCTTCAGGCATGTAGAAAATCAACAATACTTTAGAATTTTTTCCACCATTTCAGAGTTTTGAAACACATATGCTACGAAATACTATATTTAGTTACAGACCCAATTGCAGAGGTAACGAAAGCATACGCATTGCTTCTTTGAAGACAAATTATGCCAGTTTGCTTCAGATGAGAACAGGTCTTCAAAAGCTTAACTCAAGTATAATAGGATCTCGCTCATCCAGTTTTCTTCCTTTTCCTTGTCTGCAAATCAAATCTCTAAGCAGACTCCAACTTGGTGCTATTTCTTCAAATACTGTTGAGTATTACCAAGCTCTTCCTGGTGAGAATGCATGGGAGCATGCGTGTAGTTGGAGGAGTCGTGATGTCACTTTTGATTTCCCCCTCTCTGGCACATGCCTGTGGCTGACTTAAAGGGAGAAGTGCTGTCAGATGGACAATTTCAGCATACTACCTTCCCAGTCTTGACAATGATTCATCCTTAGGGATTTCGTTTGATGTCCATTACCATGCTATCCCAAACAGTGCTGGGTGGCATGTAGTAATGTTTTTCTCAACTTTTAGGGGCTTTGTGCTGATGGTTGAAACCAAACCAAGTTTCCAGAAAATTTCAGGCCAAGTTTTTACCATGAAATTGTTCAACATCGTATCTTTAGCTGTTAATTGTAGAAATACTAACTGGGATGCTGCAATGTTTGCTTTGTCTTCTTTTCTCAGTATTTGGTTACTGTGCCGAGGGCTGTTTCTAAACAGTACTGGCAGAAGACAACACTGATATTCTTTGTTTCCTGCAAGTCTATTCTCAGTGAAGTTGTATTAGGAAGGGGTTTTAATGAATGGTTTTATTATAAATAACTTCTAAACATTAGTCCATTAAGAAATTTCTGCTTGCCAACATGAAAATCCTGAGCAGGACAAACAGACCCTTTTAAGCATATACTCTTCTTGAAGCTGTCTGTTAGGACTGCTTGTTATCTGGGGGGCGAGCACAACAGAGGAATTTGCTGACAGCTGTAAGTGAGGTGCAAGGACCACAGGAATGTGTCAGTACGGGTTCTCCTGTCTCAGCACAGATAACAAGTGCTGCAGAAATGTTTTGTCTGCCAAGGAAGAGATGAGTGGCAGAGGCTGAGATGGCAGCTGCCCTGGCACAGCCCCATGTGCTGCCCCTGGCCAGGATCCTGCAGCCCCCAAAGAGCCAGAGAGGCCCCGCAGCAGTGCCTTGGGAGGGAGCCCAGTCCAGACCCAGACGTGATGGAGCTCTCTTCCCTGCCTGCCTTAGGTTGAAAAACTACATGGTCAAGATGTCTTTCTAGTTTCACTACAGAGAAGTAATGTCCAAAAAGGGACATCAGCTGAATTTCAAGATTACTCTTCCCTGCTTGCATAATTGATTTTTATGTGCTACATGAATCAGAACACTTTTAGCAAATGAGGCCTCTTTATTGAGAAGTCTGCAAGTAAGTTATCTTTTCCTCTTGTGTTATTATGACTCATTAATCAGGTAGTTGTCACGCTACTTTACTTCCTGAAGTGCCTGAAAATCACTCCTTGGAAACGTTGATGATTTACACTTCTTAAAGCCACCCTATGTGAACAGATGTTTCTGTACAAGTACCTAACTTGTTTTTTCGGTTTGCTATGTCTTCAATATTTTTGTAGACAAGGAAATTCTCATATCAGTATTTTAGAATGCATAAGCCTAATGGTCACGAAGTCCAGCTGGCAAAACAGCAACAAAACTCCAGACAGAGCAAGGTTTTATAACCTTCCTAAGGCACTACTTTTCTACAAACAAAAAGATGACTTTCAGTGAAAGACAAGATGGAAAATATACTTGATTTTAGCAGATGATTCTAGATAATGATGCTGGTAGATAATACAACAAGCAAAAGCATGGAACCAAAACTAAGTTTATGGAATTACACTCAAATGATGTCTTGAGCCACTGGGCTGTATAGCAACTGGATTTGCTGTATTTAGCAAGACAACTTTCCCTTCCAGGCAAAAAACAACCAGAGTTGTTACTCAAAGACATTGCAAAATTGTTATCATTCTGTTTATTTCTTAAATACTGGCATATTATGTTTGCTTAATAATAGCAAACCTCTTCCTTTTGGATACCATGCATAAGCAACAAGTAGGAAACACTAAATTGTTTCCTTATACATGGCTGCTTTCCTTAGGTTGACTCCTTCCTACACTACAAATTCTCTGTTGAGTTGGACTACTACTTCTGCATCCATTTAAAAAGATTTCAGTGAAAATTCTTGTTTTAAAGTTTTCAGCTTAACATAAGGCCTTGAGACTCACAACATTTTCAGTTACTGTTTATGGATCTATGTTTTAAATTTGAATGTTTGAGGTTTCTGGGATGTCATCTTCCTGATCTTTCAGTTTTAAATATTCTTGCCTTTTGTCCAGTAACATATGAATTGCCCAGAATATCCAATACTTCAAAATGAAAGAATTACCAAATTTTACATATTTAGACTGGTCACTGAAATACAGGATGCAAAAATCCACTGCTCACTCTCTTAATAGAGTTTGTAGTTGTTGATGATTTGTTCAGGATTAGGCTGGTTTAACATTTATGTGCCCATTAGAATTTTCATCATTGCAATATTTATTTAACTGAGGCCATGATGCTATGCCTCTGTGTGAGAGAACTGAATTTTGTTTTCTGCATGTGTGACTTTGCATTGTACCAGCAAATTTTGCAACACAAACCACTTATATCTTACTTCAGGAAAAATAAGGGATTAGATATCATTATGTGGTCCTTACCTCTCCCTGTTCTAGTTGCTGTCATCACATCCATTATAGAAAGGCCCTCTAGTATGAGTGACTGGTCATATAAGGCATGAGAGTCAGGGACCAGAATAATGCAACATTCTGTCCACTGACTGAGGGCAGTGTTCCTGGAAGCGTGCATCTCCTTGTGTGTAAAACCTGTACTGGCTGACATCAGACCGTGCTTTCAATAATCACTGTTCAAAATTTCAGTCTAGCTGCAGGAAATGTAGAAAATACAAGACTTTGTAAATTCTCTTCTGTTGGGGAATTGAACTATGTTTCCACTTGACCAAGGGATAGCAGAGTCTCCTATGAGATGAGGCACTGGACTGTCACTCAGAACATAGGTATTTGCTTTCCAGCTTTGATGCTAATATGTTGTGTCACCCTGGGCAAGTTGCTCCATATTTTTATACCTCAACTTCTGCTACATCTGAGGCAGGATCTGTTTCATATTGTAGTCACACGGCATGCAGTGAGAGCTGCTTGGAGCCTCAGTGCCATAAAAAATTACAAACTATCATGAGTCAGAATTTTGATACTTAAAGGCACCAAATAAACATTAACGTGTTCTGGCTCCTGTTGTGTCCATCTTTGAGGACATAGGCAAAATATCTCAGAAGACAAAGCATGGGACCAAGCAGGGAGACCTAGTTTCTAGTCAATAAGAACTACTAACTCGAGACATCTGTAGCTCCTGTGTCTCACTGTTCTGTTCTATGTGCTGGAAATAATAGGAATTGCACATCTCCAGAAAACCCTTTGGGATCCAGAAGTAAAAAACCATTTTGCAAGGACAAGTAGAGAGAAGTGTGTATATATTTCAGGGGTATTTCTATTGTCTGTCTGTCCACTGCCGTAGCTGAACATTTCATGCTTCCACGGAAGACTGAACATTTTGGTACCATTTATTTCCTTATCTGTGGAGACCATAAATACAATATTGCTTTTACTAGGCAACTCTGACATTGATAACAGACATTTATAGAACATGTTTGGAAATTAGTATGTTTCGCTTAAATGGACTGTCACTATAACGACTTTAACAAGAATACATGAGGTGCAATGATTTCGTATCATCCAGAGAACTGTTTCTACTGCAGTGCTGCCCTGGAAGTGTCTTGTTTCCTTCTCTGATAATCTGTTTTGTTGCAGGAGAAGGACTGAGTTTTTTGAACTTGTCAGTAAAGGTGGTTATGATTGGAATATAAAAAACCAGCGAGAAATATTTCGGTGAGCACTACTATTTCTTGCTTTCTGGTTATTTCAAAGTGTAGCATGGAGCAAGGATTTCATATATCATGGAGTGAAGACTCAGAGTAACAAGAGAAGGTAGCTTGTTTTAAAAATATGATCCGTGATATGAAATATATGGTATGATTTCTAAACATTACCAAACAGCAGGGATGTAATCAATGTTACCTCAACTTCTCCATTCCTATTTCTGCCTTCACACTGTCATGTGTTCTTCCCTTTCTCCCAGCCTCACCAGTTACCACTCAGCTTTTCTGCTCTTCCCCGAGAAAGCATCGATATTCTGCCTCAGGACACAAAGATCTTTCTTCTCCATTTCCCCATTCCCTCCTCCTCTCATCTGTTTCCTTTCACTGGCGATGCTTCTCTCTGCTCTTCTAGTCTGTACCTGGGAATTTGCAGATACATGGTACTCTTCTAGCCCTCAAGAATGATCTGAGCATGCCTCCTATTGAAAACCTCAGACATTGTGGGTGGTTTGAGTACAACACGCTTTTGAGACAATAAAATGTGTGCATTTGCATATGCATGCCTGACTATGTCTCGTTTTATCTGAAATTTCATTAAAAATCTGTTTCCTTTTGGTCTTTTGACCAAAATATTGGCCATTTTCTATTTTCCATATCATTTCACCCATTCCTAATTTTAGATTCAGGCAATATATTTGATGCTTCATTTTCACTGCCCTTGTTCTTCATTTAAACTTTCTTAGACTTTTATCTGCATCATGTACTGTACATAAACGCTTTCTACAGCTGAATGGGTTCTTTCTCCTAATGCATATAAAACATGGTCGTAGCTAGGTATTAAACTACGGTGGAACAGTATAGCTCATAGTAAATCTTAGATTTTTATAGTAGATGAGCAGTAGAAACTGCTTAAACAGTGTCTGGGATGCCTCCTGTGATTATAGGTTCTCTTGCTACAGCAGTCACTTACAAATAGGCATATAAATTAATCCAGTTTGCAAGTGTTATTATGTAATAATACCCTTACTTATATCATGTGAAGCACATGCTTCCTAGTATATTATAGATATTAATGTAAGTAGTGTTAGAAGTATGTGAAATAAGCAGTTACTTCCTTGCAATATCGTTTCTTTTCTAGTGTGCAATGCACAATACCAAAATTCATCATCTGATGACCTGCAACACATTAGGCTTCCTAGGCACAATTGTGATGTAAAAGCCATGCTGATGACTGAAATTTCAACCATGTCATTCTTTTCTGGAGGAAAAGAAGGTGCCAGGACTGACATTTTATATATGTATTATTTATTTATGCATCCAGAGCAGAGTTGTTTAGAAATCCAACAAAGGTTGATTCAGCTTGTATTGTTCATTTCTGTTTTTCAGATCAATGCTAATGACAGCCTGTGACCTTGGAGCTGTGACCAAACCGTGGGAGATTTCAAGACAGGCAAGTCATGATTAATAGCAGGGCTGGGAGGAGGCGGGACTGGTGGGACAATATTCCCAGGGCCCTGGCTTACAAGGGACCAAAACTGGAATCAATTTACAGCGGTATTAATGCTATAAAAAAATAGCAGGGGGTTTCTGCGAGAAATGGTTTATTGCATAATCTTTCCATGTACACATGCTGGTGAGCAGCATGTAGGTACCTGAAGAGATCTGGCTTTACAGCCTCTCCTCTTACTAACCTTTTAAATCCATATCAAAAAAACGGATGGATTAAACATGAAAAGCGTTAGCCACATGTAGCTGCGCTTACTTGTTTTGTCCCAAAGTTTTCCTTGGCATTAGCAGAATCTTCCCTAAATCAAAAATACTAGCAGATTATCTGCAAACTTTGATTAACATAAAATCTTCAGTATATTTGATAAATGTGTTCATTTTCTCAACACTGATGGAAAAATCTGCAAGTGTAGTATAGAGCCTTATTTAGCTAGCATCCTGTACTTAAGAAAAAACAAATACAAATTTAGGCTTCTGCTGCTGAGTAGGCTCTTTGGAAATATACATAAAACTTGGGTCCAGCGTTGGCAAACAATTACAACATGAGAAAGCAACCTGTCCCAAAGTCTTGTCCTTTACCACATAATTTTCCCTCTTCTAGGCATCTTTCCTCACTCGGCATCCATCCTTCATATTTCCTGTACCATTCTAATAATTCTCTGTCCTTTACTGAGGTCCAGAACAAGCCAGTAGAAGGCAGGCTGTGTAGGCTGTGGAGCAATATATAGCATCAGGAAGTGAATAGGAAATATACCAGCGCAGCTGAGTGTGGGTAAGCACCTGGAGGGAGTTTGAGTAGCTTAACAACAAAGTGATATTTAAAAAGATGGGGTGAAAACAAGAAGCTAGACCAGAGAACTAGTGAGGCAGGAGCAGGCAGATTTCTTGGAGAAGGACAAGGAAGTAACAGAAGCTGAAGGGGACTTGCCCTTCTTTATGGTAGTGCGAAAGTTACATGCGCATTAACTCACTGAAAAAGCATTTGTGTGGTGAGGACTTCAGCTCAGCTTGCAGTTTTGTCAGATGATGTTTTTTCACTTTTATAAGCAGACTGTAACAATAGTTACTCTACTCAGCCAGAATATGGTCACCTCGCATGGAAACCGGGGAAGTTGCTCATATCCTGCAGTGGGAAAATGAGTCACAAGATTTTTCAGTGCCACCTAGCCACAGCTGCAGCGTGTGCAAACCCTCCTCATTTATCCTCTTTAACCTAGTTAGCTTCTCCATTTTCTTTGACAGCCAAAATGTCAGGTAGGGTCTGTTTTCCATGTTGTCAATCTTTGTGCTATGGTGCTGAATTAGTGCTGAAGTCTCTGGCAAACTGGTTTTTTATCCTTAATGCTTTCGAGGTCTGCAGGTGAAAATTCCCCTGCAGCCTAGTGTACAGGTTTACTTTATATTGAAAAATCCAGTCTGGGATTGATTGAAACATTACCTGGTTGAGCAGAGAGGCTAATAAGTCCACAGAGGGAAAAAAGGAAATAGTTGGACCTCAACTGTGCCAAAAGGAAAAAAAAGTGAGGGAAAAAGGGATTAAAATACACGAATCAAAAGGAGTAAAGGCTACATGTAAGAAGGCAAAAGTCAGGAAGAAAAGATTGAAACAGACAAAAGAAGAGGGAAAGGGACACAAGGAGAACAGGATCATAACAGCAGTGAGAGGGCTGATACTGTGTCGTGATTATTTTTATACAATACACTTGACAAACCCTTAATTGCTGCTAAGTTGTTAAATTATTCCTCTATCTGGAGTATTGATCCAGAATTTTATTAGTGTGCTGGGATTACATACATTACAAAGTTCCAAACTGTGTGACAGCCTGGCTCAAGATTTAAAGAGTAGTCTATAATATCACTTCACCTACTTCCAGTTTATTTTGGTACTCCTTATTTCAACTGTAACAAGCTTAGGATTTATCAAAGTTCTCTACCATGCAGCTGCTAGACCAAGAAATTTTGAGATTTTTATGAAGTGCAGGTTCTCTCCTTAGTTCACCCTCTTGTGCCTTGGCACTATGAAATCATTTCCTACCTTGAAAACTCTTGAAAACAATAAGGATGCATGACAGGAGCTTTAGGAACTGAATGCTGTCTTCAGTAGATTAGTTTCCTTTTTTTTCATCTCAAACATCACACACACCTACCTTCTAAGCCCCACACATAAGAAGAATACAGTATGTAAAGGCTACTATATCAGGATTGCTAACTGTTTGACTTCCTAAAATTCCTGTTCTTTCCATAACTAATTTTGGTTTTAAATCTTGTGTTCTGCTGTAAAGCACAAACTTCTGCTGAATAGAACATCTTCATTCACAAAAATCAGAAGGATGCATTGCAACTTCCAACCCACCACTTCTTGATTTTGATTCAATATGATAATCACAATCTGAGTTCATATTTAGATACTCAGATCCTATAGTGATGACAGTGTTGGGGAAAAAAGTAAAGCCTAGTGGGGAAAAGACCTTTATGATCTCACATTAAATCAAGACAACAGAGGTTATTTGTTTTGTTTCTTTGACAAGTGAAGTTGTTTATATAGGGCAACAGCCTGTAAATACCCAGAGAGCTCTTGCACGTTTTACAAAGCATTTTTACAGATGTGATTGTGCATGCCGAGAAAAAGCTGTAATTTTCTATTCTGTTCTCAATACTTGAGTAAGTTGCACATAACCACATTGAGTGCCACCTCAACACTGCAATGTAATTCCCCCAGTCACTTCCCCATCAAAAAGGTGTAAGCGTGCCTGTTAGTGGTTATGGCTGTGTACACACCCTGTATGCCCAGTCCTGAAATCTATACAAACATGTGCATGACATCTGTCATGTAAGTGGGGCTATTCACTTCTTTACAGTTAAGCACAGACTGAATTCATGGTCTGAGCAAGAACTCATTACCCTAAAAATTATGTAGCAAGAACTCTAATCTTTATCATGATTTATGTTTTAGGCAGCTGAGCTGGTAACCAGTGAGTTCTTTGAACAAGGAGACAGAGAAAGATCTGAACTCAAACTCACCCCTTCAGTAAGTTTTTATTGCTTCTGAAATAGTTACTAACTTGAATAGGGTAAGGAAATATCACTGGGTTTATTCAGAAAAACTATTTTGTATGTAAAGAAAAATCTTGGAATAAATAAAAGCTCTGTCCAATAAAGACATACATTTAGAGCCATATATAAAAGCTCTCCAGTCAATTCAGTCACTTTTGCATTGAGCCCTTCTCCCCATTTTCCTTACCTGTTTCCTAGGTTATTCTGTCAGTTAATTTTCTAAGCAACAGGTATTGTTTTTAATACATAATATTCAAATAAAATAATCACCAGCTACTTATAGAAATCAAAATTGTCAGATTTACTATATGCTGCAGCTATCTATCCGAGTTATTTGATGTATGAAATGCTGAAAAACATTTCTATACATATACACCTAAAGGGTACATTGGTATTGAATGGAACATAGGCAGATGGGAATAAAGTGTTAAACAAGAACTAAGCAAAAAAGTTTCATAAAGTTTTTCAGTGAACGATTTGAAGAGAAAGCCTTATCCAGGTTAAATACCTCCAAATGTTGACAAGCCATAATCTGGAGACAACAGGAGGAGGGTAACAAAGTATTCTAAAGAATTTGTGAATGGCTTAAGTTAAATATGTTTATGCTTCCAAAAATAAAAAGACCATTCCAGTGGCTCAGACTTGTTCTCCCTTTGATAATACTCACACATGAGACTGTGGTGATGTAACAAAGTCAATAAAGTTAAAAAGTTTGTAGTAAACAATGCTCAGATACAATAAATGGCTTTTTACTTTATATACTGTCAGAGGTTGGGACATTAATGGATTTCTTCCCTATAGTAGTTCTGTGTGTACATCTCAGGAAAAAATGGTAGCTATAGTCCAGAAGAAGAGTAATCGGTCAGTCATTATATTCACAATTATGAGACCAAATCTAGGCCTGAATAACTGCAAGTAACATTCCATATAATATGGATATAAGTGCCTTTCCTGCCTTCTATATAAAATTTGCAAAGTTTGTTTCTCATGCTAATGAACCATGATAGGAGGTAATTTTATTTCAGCATATATATTACTGTTTTCAACTAGCAATGAATTCCACTGCAAACAGCCCAGGTCCAGCAACCTTAAGAATTATTTTAAGGTGTGTTATTACATTTACATTTTGGACATACTGTAGATTGGGTAGAAGTGCAGAGAAAGACAAAAACCAGAGCTTTCTTCTGGACTTAATGTCTCCTGAAAAATCTGCATCCAACAGTCTAGACAGGTGAGAAAGACGAGTGTATTGCTATAAATATCTTCAGTATTTCCTCCATCGTAGGAGACCTCTCACTCTTCCTTTGGGCTCTCCAGTCTGCATGAAGGAATACAGTAATTTGTGGGCCACCTGTAGGATGCTTTGAAGCCATACAGCTTGAAGGAAGATTTTCCTCTCTGTTTGCCCCTTCACAATTTCAAAGAATCCAGTGAACTGATGTATTAAGTGTTTTATATTGGGAGACAAGGCCCGTAAATAATCACAAAGTTCATCAGTTCCAACAGCTGATGGCTAAGGGTCAAAATCATGTAGAGTTTTACCACATTAATGAGGAATTTTTAAACAAGATCAAATGCTGATGTATTTCATGACATATTGCTATGACAAGCAACCTAGATAGGTATTGCTGCTAGTTAGATAAGAGAGTTGTTAGTCAGCAAGATAATGTGATATTTTCTGCTCTTACAACTCAGAGGTTTTTTTCTTGTGTTGTGCTTATAACAATCTGAAAAGAACAGGATTTTTCAAAATTATTTGAATAGGAAATACAGAATTCTCCAAAATCAAACCCTTATTTAGATACCTGTGTGATACCTGTTTATGTCAGAAAGAGCAGGCTACAACTAGAAGAATTCAACCAGACATTTAATGTAATATAATATGTATAGTCTGGAGTTTCTAGAAGGTACAGAAGGAAAGTAAATTTTCTCAGGAGATATCAGCCTTGAGGAGATGGGCCCGGAATAAGAAAAGACTTTCCACAAAAAAACCCCAGAAAGATTTAAAACTTGGTATATTCAGAGAGTAAAAAAAAGGGCATTTGGTAAATGGTATGGATGGGCCACTAGAAGGAGGATTTTAAAATCCTGTAGATGGAAAGCTGATGGACACATGTAATCTCAGGCAGGGTATGGAGGAAACTCAACTCACTCTTCAGAACTCAGTTTCTTCCATCTCCTTTCAGCCAATAATGAGCTTCTTAAACATCACTTCAACATCTGTAATTTCCACTCTGGAGGAGTGCCGTGAGCAGTGAATTAGGCTGTTTCCAGAGAAGCTAATTGATAACTGATCCCAAAAGGGATCTGTTGATTCCCCGCCCTTTGGATTCACAGAGGTGGCTGGTTCTGCAGAAAGGGTCTGTAACTGGGAGGGAGGGAGCCAGTCCAGATCCATCACTGTTCATTTCGCTAAGCTGGAAAACCCTATGTGAGAAAAGGGAAATTTCTACTCAAAGATATCTACTTCACACTTCTACAGAAGGTTCTTACCAGCTCAGCTCCAACTGTGGAGCATTTATTTTACATCACAGAATTATAAAATTCAAATACATTCAGCCTACAAATTTCAAAACAGAATTGAAAATAAACAGTTTATTTTTCATGCCAGACAAAGCAGTAGGGAGACTGCTGCAAAGATTGATTATGGTTTACAAAGCGTTCTGGTTGTGAGAATTTGATCATAGCTGCAAAGTGCTGAATGATGTGTCTGTAAAATACTCCAGTGTAATAAAGCATGACAGTTTTGTTCCCTTCTCAATTCAGGCCATTTTTGATCGGAACAGGAAAGATGAACTACCCAGGTTGCAGCTCGAGTGGATTGATAGCATCTGCATGCCATTATATGAGGTAATTTTTACTTACTGCTCCTGTAGAGTCCAGAGAAGATTGTTCTTGCCTCTCTAGGGAAAAAGAGTTAGCTTACAGTGCAGCCTTGAAGGCTCTTTGAACTGTTATCTTTCTTTGACTTTACCAAAAGTCTGACTTTACCTCTGCAGAAATCTTCAGACTTCCTGAAGGTGGTAATATCTGTCAACATAATTCCTAAGTTATAAAAGCTGATAGGGCAACTGTTTATTTTATTATGTTTGAGACAAACTGATTCTCATCATGGCAAGGAGTGGAGTGCTCTGCAGAGAGGTGCCGAACAGGCAGCCTCATTAAGTGCTGCTGTCAGACTGGTCCAAATAGGTGTCATCCAAAGGGAAATTCAAGACTGAGCCTTTGCACTCCCTTCTGGCTCCTTTCCAAACTGCTAAGGGGCACTCTAGGCCAAGCCTTTAAGGTCAGTGATAAATTATTTGTGGTTTAACCTGTGTGCTGTTTAACTTGGAGTTTACTCTTTTAATCATGCTTCTACACAGACTGCATGGGTGCTTGGTATAAGGTGTATAAGCTCTCAAGTACTTTATTAGGTCTGTTGATGACCAGAGTAACGCTTCTCGCTTTTTGGATTAAACCAGCTTCAGAATTTGACTTGTGTAACATAAGCTTCACCATTTTTACTTTTTCTCTCTTATATGTATAGAAAGCAGAGGTACACGAGCAGGATAATAAATGGAAAATAACACTGTAGAAAGTTAACCATCAATAACTGTGTCAACCCGTCTTCCTCCTCTTCACTGAAACCACACAGATCACCTTATGCCACTAAAGACTGCCAATTTGGCCATTGATATCTGAGAAAACATGGGGATGTTCTCACTAGGCATTTTTGGGGAACGGCAACAAGTTCTCCTTGTTACCACTGCACCTCAAACTGCCTCACATCTCCGAGCAATGACCGAGTCAGTGATGACACAAAAGCCAAGAGCTGGGAAGCAGGTACCAGCTGCCATGTTAACATTAAACTGCTGAATTTCTGTCTGAATGTAGCTTCCCTGCACACATACAATAATGGATTAGCAGTTCCTTTTCATTTTACAGACCAGATGTGTCACCAATAGCAAACAAGGTAAGAAGGATGATGTGCTTCCCCTGCCCTCTATACCTTGTGGCATCTGAGGCCACCACCACTGTGGCAATAATGCCTTTGCTGCTGGGCAGTCACTTCAACTCCTGTTGTGCGACATGAACAACATGCACTCGTGTGAACAGTGAGGTGGGCCAGTACATCCTGTCCCTTTCTTAGGTCAGTCTTTGTCATCATGAAATAAACTAAATCTATGGCTTTCAAACAATTAAGGCAAAGCAAGCACAGAAGAAGAAAATAAGCCTATTTTTTTAAAAAAATACCAAAATCATTTTGCACAATATGGGGGGGGCACTGACCTTGGACAAACACTCTTTAAAAAAATAATGTTCTTTTCAATATAATAGTTAATATTACACTAGAATGCATATTATACCAGAATTCATTATTTGTAATAGCATCTGTAATCCAAAAATGTACAATAAAGCAGGAAGAGCTGATAAGCAGCCCATCCTCTGCATGAGAAGACTACATCTGAGCACTAAAGCTCTGGTTAGTTAGCTCCATCTTAGCAGGAGATCTCTGGGGAATATATTCACATCTGATTTCCCTGCTTTCTGCTGTCTTTGCGTCATGCTGTGCAGCTATTAGCCTGCTGCTAAACAACTTAAAAAAGAGACACCATCAAACCTGGAAGTCATTGCAGCACCAGCCTTAGGGGTAAACAGAAAACTTGATGTCATAGTATCACACTGCAGGAGGTTCTCTCTTCAATGTGAAGCCAAGTTTTAATTTTCATATCCAGCTTAATCAAACCTCAGTACACATATCACATCAGCAGAGTATTCAGGCATTGTAAATCCTCTGTTTAGGGCTGGCTGAACACTACAACTATGGACAAGTCCTATATTTTTTTTTTTTCCCAAATACAGTCTTTAAAATTCTAGCTGTTGTAATACGTTGTAGGGACTGCATGTGGGGATAGAATGGGTTACATCATTACCAATGCAACATAAAGAGGCGGAGTGGCAGCTGACAAATTAGTAAAATCTTAGCAGTACTTCTATAGATCACTACCATAGTGCTTATAAAAACCGTATGTTTGAAATAAACATTTGACACTCATTTTGATACCAAAATTACAACATTAAACCATAAAGAACAAATCAAGGCTTTTGCATGTAGTTTTTTTTCCATGCTAGTGGTTAGAAGTCCTGAATCCATGTGGGCAGATCCTAGCATCCAGAGCCCTGGAGGGAACTCTCTGGGGAATGTGTGCATCCATACCAATGCAGTTGCTACAGCAGGACCTAATGCTGTGCTCTATTTGACACCCACACAGAACCGATGGTCCCAGAAACCAGTGAATGCTGGTAACTCCCATTAAAGTCAGACAGGAGATCAGCAGAGCCCTCTGAAATTTTCTTTACTCAAAGTAGTTCCCAAGAGTAGGCTACTCTTGGCAGCTGTGAGTGTCTGAAGTGTGCAATGCAGAAGGAAATTCACAGCCCTAACTTCCAGGAGTGGTCTGACACCACCCCAGTGCCACTGACAGTGCTGTAACAAACCACATCTTCTCTACATGAGCTAGGCTACATATACCAGAGTGTCCACAAGGAATTTTTCATACTTAAATTAGTATATAAACTTTGCAGAGCATTTTAGAGAGTTATGGCCTTCCTAGCCTTATTTTTTTCTCCATTCTGAAACAGTCTTTGGGACTTGATCAGTCTTCTGGGGAGAGTTGGCTCTACCTCCTCCTTAAGCACCTGCTGTAAGTTAGCTCAAGACAACCCACTTTGAGGTGCAGTTCTTCTCCTAAGTAAAGGGTAATGAAGTCTTCTTTATTGGGGGATGTGTATCACATCCTTCTGCTTGCCTGGCTAGAAGTGTTTTCTGAGTTTGGCCCTTTTTGGTGAGAAGGTTTATAAGGGACTAGCAAATCCTCAGATCTGTGCACCTTCCATTAGTAATCCTGTTTGCCCCTTGGAATGCCCATATGACCCAGAAGAGAGAAGGTCAAAGATACACAAAACGTGCTACATCATAAGCTAACGTGGAACTTGAAGCTAAATATAGATATATATATATAATGATAGCTGAGGATATTAAAAAAAAAAAAATCAGGAATTATACACAGCTAGATTTCCCATATCCAAGTGCCTAAATCCAAATCTTTTTGTATTTGCTCTGTAAGCCTGACTCTGCTCTTGGCATAAGGTAAGCCATGGCTCTGCTCCCTTGCTCTGTCCCATATCTGCTGCTCACTGTGGGAATCAAGCCACCTCCAATTTCAAAATACCTTCATAATCAAATCTGTTTCCTTCACACTCTGGATCAAAGGTTTGCGAAGATAAAAGCTTCCCAATTTTTTGTTCATTGCTTTTTCTTACACTTGGGACATTATAATTTTATTGAATTTACTTTTTTGTTACTGTAGTGATGACTGATCAGAGTATTTTTATGTGACAGTGGAGTTTTTGCCTTGAGTAGCAGAACAGCCATCCATTTACTCTGAAGCGCTGATTTTAGGGGCTTTAGTTACGCTTTACTGCATCACATTTGCTCTTCATTCAAAAATGCCAGCAAGAAAAGAGTTCATCAGTAGAGATGAGAAACAAGCTTATTAGAATAATAAATTATAAGGAAAAATACATTTTTTGGAACTGTAAAGCATTTCAAATCTACTAATGTAGCTTCAGTATGAAGTAATCATCCCCTTTTTTTTGGTAGAATATTCTATAAAGGGTAAGCATATGCCACTAAAGCAGAAAATCTAAAGCATCCCATTGAAAATAAAGCACTATGGCTACACTGACAGCTGTGTTCACCACACAAAGTGTTCTGTACCTATTTGGACATACATGTTCATATAACAGGAAACAGAATTTTGAGCATTAAGACAAATTGCCTTTCTGACCCTCCAGTAAAGAGATGCTAAAAGTTTTAACACTAACAGACTTCTCTCCTGAACTTTGTGGTTTGTGTGTATCTAAGACAGGATCAGTCATAGATTTTTCCCAACTCAGATTAGATTTCTCTGTGGGGAGCAGACAGAGCGGGAGAGTGAAGATCTTATTCTTTTTAATCATGATTTTTCTCACAAACAACATCAAAGCTTCAGCGATTCACATCAAACAAAAGATGCTAACAGAAGCCCTGCTCTGTTCACAGCATTGTTAGGCAAAGACAGTAACACTATGAATAGCAGGGCCAAAGGCCATGCACTCTGCTTCTGGGCAGATAAATACATAGTCAGGTAGTCAGTGACAATGACAGCAGCTATTTAAATTTAAGGGAGATGTCTTTGTGGAAGATAAAGAAGCTCACGGCTTTTACAACTTATGCGTGCCTGAGATTGCCCTGCTCACCTCTACCTTGGTGCTCCCATTGAACTGCTCCATTTTAGTGCCATTTTTAGTGCTATTCAAGATTTTCTAGGGTATTGAGCGGTTAAAGCATATAATAGTATCTACAGAAGTGAATTTGCATTACTCCATCCAAGATTCTAGGGGGAATCCGGGAAGAGCAGAAACATTTATGTTTAGCATAGCAAGTACTTCAAATGTTTTGAATGGAATGTGGAAGGACAGAGTCCTTTTTTATCACATTGTTTGACGTGCTTAGAAAGAAATCTAATCACTCTGTCTACAGCTCCAAGAGCTCTGATATGCCTGTCTTCCTACAGAAGATAATGTCTAGCCTTGTAATTAAATCTGTCTTTAGAGCATGATGATGTAACTGCAAAAGCATCTATTCTGCTTGTAAGCATACATTAAATGCACAAGGTATCATAAATGGTAGAGCCTCTACAAAGCGTAGAAAAAAAATACACAGAAATTTCCGACAATCATGGCTATCTCTGTGCTTTAACTTCTCCAGTTCAAGAGTTGACTTTGAAACCTGAATTGGAAGTGCCTATGAAGACATGGTTTGG